TAAAAAAAAATAAAAAAAAAATAAAAACACAGGAGACATTCTCTGTCATTTCTTGAGGAGTGTGAACAGTGCTTCTTGTTGTCTAAGAAAGCCAGTTTTGTGTTTCCCTTTTTTCTTTTTAGTAAACACAGGTGGCACTGTAATGTGAGGACTGGCATTTATTTTAGTTTACTTTAGACATTTCTTGCTGACGATGAATGGGAAACCGAATCCTTCCACTTTAGCATATAACTTGCAGAGAGAGGGGAAAATCATTTTTTTTTTTTCAATAGAGTGCCACTGCATACATCAACAACTCCAGAACAATCAGGCCTCAGGTTCAGGAGTAGATCAACATATAGTGGACTCCAGTGTGTGTGTGTGGGGGGGGAGGGGGGTGTGCACATGCATGCTTTTATTTGGTTACAGTTTGGTGGGGTGTTTGTTTGTTTGTTTGTTTGTTTTGAGAAAGTGCTTCAACTTCAGTTGGTTGGGAGGAGGAGAGGACCTGGAAGGACCCGGGTGAGGGAAAGAATATGTTCAAAATATACTTAAATTTAGAATTGTTTTAAGTAACAAAAACATATTTAAAAGGGGAAACATTCCATGTAAAAATTATCCTAATTTATTCTACTATTCCTCTGATATTAGGCAGTGAAATTGTTTTCTATTTCCTCCCTTATCATAATGGTTTTGTTAAATATAGGGATGAAACAGCATGGGTGAACAGGACATTTTGGATGTGATTTGTGGAAAGCAAGGTTGCCTGGCGATGGCCTCAGCTGAGAAAAGCAGAGCAAGGATGTTCGTGGGGTGGTGAGGGGGTGCTTGCTGGGTTGCTTCGGTAATGAGCTGTCATGTGTGGTGACGTAGAGTTCTTGGCTGATCAAGTCTGGAGGAGGAGGTGCGAGCCTGGGCAGGTGACAGATGCCTACGTGAGGAGAGTCTGGCTGGAGCACAAAAGAAACCACCTTTCTCTCTTCTTAAAACTATTTTAAACTTCAAGAGCAGCTTATTAAGAATGTGCTACATGTGCAAAATGGGAAAAATCACTTTCTAGTCCCACTCACATGCTTCATAGACACCCACTGGAAATATCATGGTATATAATCTTCCAGCTGGTATTAGGAATAAATGTGAATACAGATTGATGGATAAGTCTAGTCTTTGTATTATAATATACGTAGTGTGTATTGTCTTCTAAAAACTAAATTATGCATACTTGGTTCTTTTTTTATTTCTTTTTTCGAGGCTTCCTTTCCACAGTAGCATGCTGCAAGCATAACTCAGGTATAATTCATATGCCCAGTTTCCACCCCAACACCTATAGCCAGGAAGATAATTCTAGCTAGGACCCAGCTACATAAAGGCTACTCAGGAAGAAATCATTCTTGCCTTCCTATCCCTGTGTGCCTGTACAGTGTACATAGTAAACCCTAAGAATGTTTTGGATGAATGATAAATGAAACAATGTTTGGAACTCCGGATGCCAGATTTCTTCTTTGAAGTTTTGTTAGGAGCTGCTGTATTCTGCTCTGTATCATGGGGGCGCATTGCTTGTCAGTAACGTGACTCTGGTGCTCTGAGGGCTGGGGTCAAGTTCTGGCCTTCCTGTTCTAGGGCAGTGTCTGTCAAGCAGTGGAAATTTAGTAAATCTTATCGAACGAGTGAATAAATTAATGAACAAATAAAGGAGGCTGCAAACATATATGATAAGGCTGAATCACACAAGGAAAGGAAGAATGCCACACCGGAAAATATTCGGGAGAATCTGCAAGGTAAACACCATGACTACTCCTTGTACTTTAGAAACATTCATCATTCCATGTGATCAGATTTTTTTTACTAGAAAAATTTAAAGACACATGTACTCTATATGAAAAACCTCCTTGATTTAAAAGGGAGGAGGATTCACTTCTTGGATGAATTTCCATAAAGGTAAATCCTATTACTGTTCAAAAAAATAGCTGACTTTATATACTATCACAAAGTATGTTCCTTCTTTCTTAAAACCCAAAAGTTATCCAATCACAGATTTTTTTTTTTTTTTTTTTCCCCTCTGAGTCAGGATTTTGCTTCAAAGCCCAAGCTAGCCATGAACTCTGGCTCCTCCTCCTTAGGCTCCAGAGGGCTGAAACCACAAGGGGACATGTGTCACCATGCCTGGCTTAGATTCAAGTGTGTGTGTGTGTGTGTGTGTGTGTGTGTGTGTGTGTGTGTGTGTGT